CACCAAACCCTGCCTTGGGACACCCAGGTCCCAAGTGTGCCAGACCGGGGAGGTCCAACCTGTACCTACAATAACGTGGTGTTCGTTAATGAGAATACCACCCACCTACACTGGGCATCAAAATCCCATCTCTTGGGCCCAAGTATCCAGCCATTCAAATCATCAGGCGGGAACAGGCTTGCGCCTTAAAATCAGCATGACACCAAACCCTGCCTTGGGACACCCAGGTCCCAAGTGTGCCAGACCGGGGAGGTCCAACCTGTACCTACAATAACGTGGTGTTCGTTAATGAGAATACCACCCACCTACACTGGGCATCAAAATCCCATCTCTTGGGCCCAAGTATCCAGCCATTCAAATCATCAGGCGGGAACAGGCTTGCGCCTTAAAATCAGCATGAAGGTATGTTGCTTGATAGTGTACTTCCACAGTAGGGCATCAGACTGGGAATCAGGAGACCTGCTGCTGTTCCTAGTTCTGCCACTGACTTGATGGGTAACCTTGGGCAAGTCCCTTCACTGCTCAGTTCCCTCCCACGCTTTTCTGTCTTGTTTTGCCTACAAGCTTTTGGGGCTAGGACTGTCTCTTACTACAGAACCTAGCAAAATCGGGTCCTGGTCTGGTGGGGGGTTGATCACAGTGCCACTGTAAGCCAACTAAATACACAATACTAATTATATTGCATCATGTGTGTTGCAATAGCCCTTAAGGGGCTCCGCCAAGATCAGACCCAAACAGATTTTGGGTAAAATCCACAGAATTTACCATCTGGCTGAAATTCTCCTCTCCCAAACTCACAGGAGTTTAGAGGAGAGACTTCTCACTCCTGTGACCCCCTGAAGGCCACCAGGTTAGAGGACACTGGTTAGAGGCGTCTGCCCTCTGCTCCAGTGGAAAAGCCCAGTAGAGTTGAATAGAAAATTAGAATCTTTCCCCAGGCCCTTTGCTAGACAAATTCAGCCTGGATGTAGTTATAACAGAGCGAGCAAATAACCTAGGGTAGCAGCCAGGGCCCCCGAAGCCACAAATGTCCCGTGGTGGACTGGGCCAGGCCATTGGTCTCGGGTTCCCACATGCAGTCAGGACCTTTGCTCAGAGGATCTGTTGTGCGCCTGTTCTTCCCAGCCAGCTCCCTTCCTGACTGCTTCTGGCTGAACCTCTGCCCTGCTTCAAGGACATGCTGAGGGTTAAACATG